CCCAGGCCAACCGCCAGGAGGGGCAGGGCTGGAGCCACCAAGCTCCCCTCCAGCCTTACCCCAGCCTCGATCCCCTTCCGCCAGTCTGCCCCTCCCCGAGCTAGGCTCTTGGGTGTGTGCGTGTGTATGTGTGTGTGCAAAGACAAAGCGGGGGGAGGGGGGGACATGACCGGGAAAAGTTTGGGGACCACTTCTTGGAAGAATATAGACTCCACCTCCAGTCCAGAGCAAACCTTCCTCAGCCTGCAAAGGATACACGTGCTTATTTGCATAATTTAAATGTACAAAGCAGCTGTGTTGAATATACAAATGCTATGGAAAGGGGGGGGAGTGTTTTGCTTTTTTGCTTCTGCCGTCATTACTTAGCGAATTTCCTAGTTCTGTGACATCACAGTCTGAAGATCTTGGACAATAATTCATGTGATTTGCATTCAGCAAATCAGCAATCAGTAATTAATGTGATTTGCATATGCAAATGAGTTCAATTAGAATGCATTTCCCCAAGAAGGAGAGTTGGCCTGATTGGTGTCTCTTTAACCAGCTCTCTTGTCTCTGCAGGACACAAGCCAGTCTAGTGAGCAGGCACCTGAGAGCAAGCCAGGTAAATGGCCCAGTGGCCTGTATAGGGGAATAAGGCTGCAACATGGCTCCGGGCCCCGGCTGCTGCTGCCACCCAGGGTCTCCTCTGCCATCTGAGGTCCAGCTGTCGTCCCTGCTGCCTCCCAGGCTCCTGGCCACCAGCCCTGGTGGCTCCGCTTCTGGCACCAGCCCCAGGCGCTAAGGCTGCCCAGGGTCCTGGCCACCGGCAGCCACCCTGAACCATAGCCCCAGCCTGGGGCACCAAGGGGGGACTGACAAGAGGCAAGAGGGGCACAGTTCGGCACTGTCCCCTAAAAATTATTCCAGCCCCACATGCAGGCCGTGCGCCCTGGGGCACCCCGGCCAGTGCCCCTTGTGGAGACTGTGTGCCCTGGGGTACCCCAGCCAGTGCCCCTTATGGATGCTGTGTGCCCTGGGGTACCCCGGCCAGTGCCCCTTGTGGAGGCTGTGTGTCCTGGGGTATCTCAGCCCAATGCCCCACGTGCAGGTTGGGACTAGAACCTGCCCTCCCTAGGTGAACACCCTGTCCCCTAGGCCACACTGGAACCTGCCCCACCACCTTACTCTCAGGGCGCCTTTTATCTCACCACTTGCTGGCAGTGGGGGGGAGAGGTCTGGGACTAGAACCTGCCACCCTGTAGGATACATGTGCCCTCATGTCCAGACCCATTGCCCCAGAGACCAACCCTAATGCATCTCTCTGTTGCCCAGAGAGCACCAACCCATCAAGTGGAGAGGAAGAAGAGATGGCTGCTGATCCATCCCCAGCCCTGGTGCTCACAGGACAGGTAAGAAGGTGCTTGGGGTTGGCTTGGGCATTTTATGTCCTGACCCAGACAAACCCCTATCCAGAAACCCTCGCCCCCCAACCCGCCTCCACGTCACGACAGGGCCAGTCCTGGCCGGAGTCTCCCCTCTGCACATTCTCCCCATCTCACACCTGGGAAAAACCCCAGGAGTCCTACCGCCCCTTGCCCTGGCTGACTGGGGCGGAGTGGCTGACACTACACAGGGCAGCCAGGCCACTGAAAAGGGCTCTGAACCCCTTATTTTACAGCCAGCTCGTACTACAACCCGGGGGGGTAGGGGCTGGCCGGGGAGGCAGCTGCAGATGTGCCTGCGGGACATTTTTTAGGGCTACCTGAGATGTCGGGGGAATCGCCGCGGTACAGCCAGTGGGAGCCCTGTACTCACTGCCCAGCCACCGGCGGCTGGCAGCACAGGCGCCCTGCTCCCGTTTTCCCACTGCAGGCTGGAAATTCAGACCCCTGTTCCTTGCCCTCTGCACACCTGCGGGGTACCCCGATCTGCGGCCTCAAGGCAAGCCAGGCTCCCCCGTCCACAGCGCTCCTTGGCCGAATGGACCTTTCGGTAGCAGAGCGTAAGCCACGCAGGAGCCAGGCCAGTCGGCTGGTTCTGAGCTTTCAGCGGACCCTCCCCCGCCCCCCGTGGGGGAAGGTGGCAGGACGCAGGGGAAATGCACCTGCCTGGATCTGTGCGGGCAAGTGTGTGTGTGGACGATTCGTGGGGTGCGATTACCCCCTCCTGGGAGGGCAGGGGGGGCTCGGCGAACCCCTTCGTCCTCCGACCGGGCCCCCGGTCGGGATTCCTCATCGTACGTCCCGTCAGTAGGGCGCAATCCCCCCCCCCCCGCCCC